AAAAATCTCGGGAAGATAAAAGGCACAGGAACTAAACTAGAATTATTTCACTGGACATCTTGACTCTTGAAATTGCAGGTTTTAATTGCCAGCTGTCAGGCTGTACTGTGCAGGTTCCCTTCAGGTAGCACAGGTACTGGGAATTTGGCTTTCGCACTAGGTGTAGGACAGAGCAAAATTTATTCAGGGAGGAAGAGTGAATTGCTAAAACAAGCTATACCCAATAAAAGTATGAAAGGGCTGCCTTCGTGCTTTTCAGAATGTACACCTCAGACCCCAAGGCAAGAACTTGGTAGGGTTGTATACTTGGCAAAAGGCAGACTCGGTCTTTGCATTGCAGACTGTTTTGGATTCTGCAAAGACATGGCATTTAGTTCCAATTTTCCCATCTACTTCAGATAGAATCAGCTTACAGAGTCAGGGAATCATTTTGGTTGGAAAAGACCTTTGCCATCATCGAGTCCAGCTTAACACAGCACTACCAAGCCCCTCACTAAACCATGTCCCCAAGTGCCACATCAAATGACATGCATGTCATTTGAATAGCTCCAGGGATGGTGATTCAGATGCTTCCCTGGGCAGCCTGTTCCAATTCTTGACAGCCCTTTCAGTGAAGAAATTTTTGTAATATCCAATCTAAACTTCCCCTGGTGCAATTTGAGGCCATTTCTTCTTGTCCTATCACTTGTTACTTATAAGACACCCATCTCACTACAGCCTCCTTTCAGTAGTTGTAGAGAGTGATAAGGTCCCCCCTCAGCCTCCTTTTTCTCCAGACTAAACAACCCCAGTTCCCTCAGCTGCTCCTGATAAGACTTGTTCTGCAGATGCTTCACCAGCTTTGTTGCTTTGTTTTGGATGCCCTCCAGCAACTCAGTATCTCTCTTGTAGTGAGGGACCCAGAGCTGAACACAGGATTCAAGGTGCAGCCTTACCAGTGCCCAGTACAGGCGGATGATCACTGCCCTGGCCCCGCTGCTACACTATTTCTGGTGCAGGCCAGGATCCTATTGGCCTTGTTCATTCTTCTCAGTAGATGGGTGATCTTGGGAGTATCCATATGTTTACAGTATTGTTTTCTTTTTCTTGGAGCCACCTGGCCTACTTAAAATTTACATGTTTTCTTATGGAAAAGGGTCAGTTTTGGGCATTTTTCTTGCAAGAAAACATGTGTTCCTGTTAATGCATTTCTCCTCTTGCTTTACAGCAACAGTTTCCCTGTTGGGGAGGCACATACATTCAAGAGTTCTGGAGGAGAGGGTTTGTTTAGCCAAATGTCTTCTGATTTCTAAGAAGGCAGCTTGGACTGTAGTTCTGAAATTCATGACATATGTGTATCTTATGACTACAGAAGTACAACAGCCACTCCTGCATGAGTAATTTCTTTCATAAATTTGAATAGTTCACATATGTAAACTGGGGATTTTTAAAGGTTGGGATGTTTATCACCTTATCTTAAGCCCAAGATCGCTAGGTAACAGATTTTCTCTGGAAAGGAGACTTTGCCCTTATGTGCTTCACAGGATGCTTCTAAGAATTGATGCCAAAGGATGACCTTTGTTCATTGGCTGTGGTTGCTTGTTGCAGCTAAGATGATGTAACAGTTGAAGGATTCTGACCCTTTTTCCCCCTCCCCCAATAGTGCATGTTCATGTCCTTTCTTCCTCTCATCTGTCCTCACCTAACCTCATAATAAAACAGATGGTTCAGGGTGCTAGGCTGACAGGTTGAAGAGCAGCTGCATTGCACTGTCTTTTGAGATAAGCAGGATGAAGTAGACGTTTCTACTTCTCTTTCCTGTGTTTGGAAATGGTTGCAAGGTGCTGGTTATGTCCTGTTGTAAAAACTGACCTCTGACCCTTACCACATGGCTTTCTGCTTCCTATCCCTTGTGTGTGAACTGGAAGTCTGTGGGAGAACATTTTCTTGAAGTGTTATGTGGCAAATGTGTGCACACCATGTATGAATCATAACAGTCTAACACCAGTATTATTTCTCAGCCTCCTCTAAACTGCTTACGATTTCTGAGATGCAGATAAAAATGGTAAGAAAATTTTGGTTTGTTTTTGAAGGTTAAGAAACCTTAATTCAGTTTTGCAAGGAGACTAGGTACCCTTGTGATAAGTACCAAATAATGTTTGTGGTATTGTTTGCAAGTGCTACCAGTCTTTTATAACAAGGAATCTATTTTCTTTGTCTCTATTTAGTCAGCTGCTTCTCTTCAAATCAGCCACACTGAAGATGCAGAAATGAAAGACGAGCAGAATGGAGTTGAAGATAAATCAGAAGTTGACACAGAAGCATAAAACCAAACCCTATTCCATTAGTTTTGTAAATGAAAGAATTTCCAGTGAATTAGACCTTTATTTTTCTACCTGGTTGGACAGTGGCTTCAGGGGAGCAGAGGCTGAAGCCACCATGCCACAGTCAATTACAGCTTTATATGTCTGTTGAAGCTGAGTGGCAGCATAAATCTGGTTTAATCCTAGGGACTTTATTTATTCAATCAGCCTCTGTTACTGTTTGGGTTCTGTCTGGATTTACTCTGCTTGGTTTATTTGCATTTTGCCATTGGTGTTTGTCTCTTTCTGGTTCCAGTTTAATTCCAGGTTCTGCTTCCTCAATTCATGTCCTGATTTCTTCCAAGTAGCCAGCTTTTTCCAGGAGTTCTCACGTGAGACTGGAGAACAAATCGGCACTCCCAGTTCTTCTGTTTTGGGATTGCCCCCTTACTCCCCTGTTCAGTATGGAGTCTCTTCCGCTAAGCATTGTAACCTTTCTTGTATGCCTCATGTTTGCAAATTGCTGAAGGTGAAGACTGTGAAGTCACAGCTTAAGTAATAAAGCTCCAATTAAACTCCAGAAAACAGAAATTTTTGTGGGTTTTTATTGGAATTTGCACAAAGTTAAGATAATTTATTGTCCTTTGGTCATCCGGTGTTTTCTCATCCACACAGCTGTACAATAGCCACAGTACTTGAGTATTCTCTGATGTTGCTCATTCACTGCCATAGAAAATACCCATAATAATCAATACAGTATTTACCCATATATTTGCAAAAGGAAAAATCTGTTGCAGAAAATCTTACAAAAAGTAAATCTGTAACCTATGCATAGACCTTATTTTCTGTTCCTATTGCTCTCTTCCTCTATACCTTCCACATAGTAAAACTGGACCAGGGAAAAAAAACACGTCTTCATACTGACTGGCTTTGGAGAGAAAATAGGAGATAACAGTATAACACGTTACAGATACTTGTAATGAACTACAAACTTCTGAATGATTTGAATGTCTGCTTGACCTCATCTCACAAGAAAGCTATTACTTAATATTCTGCTTCTTTCTGTAGTACATTTTGTGTCTTGTTTGGGGGCTGGTGTGCCTTTGGGTTTTGTGGGGACTTCTTGTTGAGGTGGGGTTTTGTTTGTCTGCAGGCTTGGAACATAGTACTCAAACTCACCTCCTCTGTTTATGCTGCTGTGTAGTGTTAAACTTGGCATCTCCACTGTCCTGAGACCCTCTAGCAGCAGCAACAATTTTTTGCCTGCTCTGCAGGAGGAAGGTAGATAAATCTGTTCCTCTCAGGTACGAAAATGGGTTTGGTGGGGGCTTTTCTGATTTTGGTGGGTTGTTGTGGTTTTTTTTGGTGGGTTTTGGTGTGGTGGGGTTTTTTGGGGTTTTTGTTGGTTGGTTTTGGTTTGTTTTTTTAGTGAGAAAGATATCTTTGCATGGGCTGGTCTGGAATTGTGTGTGTATCGCAGGGAGTATCCCTGTTATAACATGAATGACATCTGAAATACTTAAGTTTGAAATGCTGGTCTCCTTTACTGAGAGAAGTCCTGCATAGGCACTTATCCATGTTTTTTTTATGGGCCGGGGTTTGCCTGCACCTGACCCTGCAAGAGCACTGCCTTGGGCCAGGCAGTTGTGTAACCGAACTGTCGCCAGGGTGTTAAGGTCTGCTTGACATGCTGTCCTGCCCCATGCCCAGAATAAGACCTTCACCAAATGCTGGTGGGTTGGAGGTAGCTTAGGGAGCTGTGACTGTGCTGCTTTCTGCAGGGTGTAGCAATGCCTGAAGCTTCAGTGTAGTGGGTGAGGAAGTCAGTTTATCCTGTTATCACAGTTAAGGAAGTGCTGATTTGATTTGCTTAGCAAAGCGTTAGCATTGCCAGGTAGTGCAGGTGAGCTTCATGAGTTCTCTGTATGAAAGGAGCAGCTGAAAGGAGGTTCTGTATTGTCTTGAAGCATGGGGCCAGTTGCCAGCAGTTGATGGCACACAAGTGTTCTTTAAGTGAGGTCATGCATGTAAAGTTCAACTTCTGTGTCGTTATACAAAAATGCTTAAGCAATTGCAGGACTTTGTTAACCGTATATATCTGTCTCTTTATTTACAAATCTTTCACCTTGTGTAGTGTTACTGTCATAGTTTTACAATATCATTAAGGTAATAGAAGTGCCCTATTTCACTATTAGCTGTGGAAGTGGGAAGACCTCATCTTTTGTCCAACCTACAAGACACGCATACAACAGCTCCGTGCTGTTGGATGTACGACTGTGCCCTTGGATCTGAGCAGGAGCTAAACACCTCGTTTGCAGAAGGCAGTAGTGACACAGTTCCACTGTTACAGGAGCTGGATCAAGCGAAAGCACAGCCAGGTCTCCTGGCTGTGGGGCTGCTGCTGAGCCTGAGGCCTGGTAGGCCGTCACCCTGCCCGCTGTTCCCACTTGGCAGGCGGGCACCGGGACAAGCGGTCGAGCGCTCGCTCTTCCGGAGGGCCCAGAGCGCAAAGGCAGAAAGTGTGCTTCCATCCCCAAGCTGTGGGGCCGCCCGGGCTATGCTGCGCGGCCCGGCCGCGGCTGCTCCCGGAGGGCCCAGCGACGGCCCGCCATGCCCCGCCCAGACCTCGCGTTGCGCCTGCGCGCCCCGGTCTCATTGTCGGCCGCTGAGGCGTACCGCTGCGCGCCGTGCTCCGCAGGCAGGCAGGCAGGGAGGGCGGCCGGCCTGCCGGCTTGCGGCCGCGGCGGGATGCGTTCGGTCAGCTATGTGCAGCGTGTGGCGCTCGACTTCGGCGGCAGCCTGTTCCCGCGAGCCATCTGCCTGGGGGACGCTGACAACGACACGGTCCGCAGGCGGGAATGGGGGGGGGGGTGTGTGTCTGCGCGGCTGCGGGAGGTGGTGCTTCCGCAGGGGGTCACTGGGAGCGGTTTGTGGGGCACCTGAGAGCGGGAGCCGCACTTGGTCGGCCTGCGGAGCACCCCGGGCTTCCACCCTGGGGAAGCGTTGGAGCTTGATGGGTTTCTGAGCAATGAAGCTGCAGGGGTTGCATCCGGCGGCCCCCAGAGGTCCTTCGCAAGCTGACTGTCCCAGTGCTGCTGGGCTGCAGCTGGTCAGTGTTTCCATCGCCGTTAGACCTGCTGGGCACTCTCGGCATGGGCCCTGGATGGTGTGTAGCTATAGAGAGTTTAAGTTTTGGTCCCAAAACCTCTCCTGTTGCGCTGGCAGGGATGTGGAGCTGTGTGGAAATGCTTTGCTGCAGCGCAGGAACACAAAAAGGGTTTATTGACCGTGTATTGGGCCCCCCCCCCCCCCCCCCCCCCCCCCAAATGCTTCTTTCTCATGGGTCTGATTTGTCTGTAACTAGGAAGAGTTAGCTTCACCAGATAGATGTAAGTTGTCGTTTCTTCTCTTCAACAAGCATATTTTATTACAGCTGTATTCTGTTATCCTGAAAAGTGCCATGGCTAGCAAAGCAGTAGATGATAAAACACATTTTCCCATGAGAAATAGTGTTATGTGGGGTAATGTATGCAGGGAGCTATTGAAATGCACACAATTTAAGTACACAGGGGCATGATGCAGAAGATGGGATGGTAAGAGTAGGCTCGTCAGCAGGGGTAGTTGGATATTTTAATTCTTTAATATTTTTTAATATATTAAATATTTAATAATTTTTAAAGGCTCCTTTAAAGAAATAATCACCATTCTGAAAAACCTTTACCCCTTCATCAATGAAATTGAACATCCAGTGTAAATCGATTGTAAATGTTCTTGCAGCCTCTTTCTCGATGGTTACATTTTCCTTCTTGCCGTAATCTTCCTCAGGTCATGCAAGAAAGATCAAGTCAGTCTAGACTGAATGATAGAAAATGTGATGATGATGATGACTAGTGGAGCAGGATGTTAAAACAGTGAAGAAACAATGGCTAGAGAAGCAGTATATAATGGGATGTTGCTCTGAGGACCTGCTCTCCAGCTCTTTTACCTGCAAAAGGAAAATTAATTGCTGGGTGTTTTTTTACCCCAGACCTTTTCTATTGGCTTGAGGCTGTTTCTAAGTCTTATTTTGCTTTGCTGCTTCTTCCTACAGAGTGATTTTTATATACAAATTCTGCAATTATTGCTGTGTGAGAATGTTACTGTAATTGTGAATTTCTTCTTACTAACTCAATTCTTTTATGCAGCTGAATGAGCTAGTAGTGGGAGACACCAATGGGAAGCTCTATATTTACAAGAATGACGACAGCAAACCCTGGGCTATGCGATCTTGCCAAGGAATGGTCAGTTCTAGACACAATTTTTAATGGTTGGGCCTTTTGGTGTGTGTGCAGCCAGCTGTCCTTTACCATCTTCATGGCCTCCTCTGGACTTGCTCCAACAGTTCCATGTCCTTCTTGTGTTGAGGACACCACAACTGCACACAGTACTCCAAGTGAGGTCTCACGAGAGCAGAGTAGAGGGGCAGGATCACCTCCTTCGACCTGCTGGTCACGCTCCTTTTGATGCAGCCATAGGCAAGACCTTGCTTTTGCCCACAGCTAGCCCCATGGGCTAAAAGTGATGAGCAAAGTACTGAACACAGGAACTGGGCTTCTGTCCCACCTTTTCCCTGTTCCTGTGCACTGTGGATTTGGTTCTGGGGCTCTGGGCAGTTGTGTGGCAGATCTGTTTCTGTCCCTGACTTTGCTCTTTTGTCCTTGAAAAGGCTGTTTTGAGTTCAAGAGAAGGTTATGAGAGAGGAGGAAATAGAGCAGAAGCTTATCCCAAAGCACTGTTTGAGTTCCCTTCCCTCATGCATGTCCTTTTCTCTTTCAGCTCACGTGTGTTGGTGTGGGAGATATATGCAATAAAGGAAAGGTGAGAGCAGCCAAACTTCCCAGCTGTGTCTGTAGGTCATGTGGGAGGTGCTTAGGGTCATGTCATATCCTGAATGTGGAGAAGGACAGGTTGCAGGTGCTTTTTCTTCAGGTTTGCTCATAGTTTTAGCACTACTGTTTTAAAACTGTACTGTTTACATATAGCCTCTATCTTTCTATGAGCCATAGGTAGGTTTTAGTGAGCAAGGAAATCCATCCTGTCTTCAGAAAGCACTATTCATTTCCACATCTCCCTGTGTGAGTGCCACAAGGCTTTGGTGATTTGAAGGTTGCTCCTTTTCCGTAGTGACTTTTGCCCTGCTCTGTGCTGGTCCCTGGTGTGGGTTATGGCTGTTCTGCCACTTGGCTGTGTGCATTTAAGGTCATCTGGGGGTTAAGCCAGGACCACTGAGTCCAAAAGTCCCACTTTAGGCACCCTGCCTAATATACTGTAGCTATGTGTGCTCCAGTGGGGAGCAGAGCTGAAGTGAGCATTGGGAAAGCCACATGTTTGGGGATTGCGTGCACACATCAGCCTGATAATCCTGGTCTGACAAGGATGAGCAAGAAGTTTAGACCCTGCAGTACCTAGGTAGCTTGCTGACCAAAAACCTTCTCCTGTTCCCTCTGTAGCAGTCACCGATCTTGATGGATCTACCCTTGTATCTTCCCTCACCCTGCTGCGAAAGATCTTCTGCAGTTTCTAAAATAGGAAAAATCAAAAGGTTTTTCTCTTCCCTCTTAGAATCTTGTGGTGACAGTGAGTGCAGAAGGCTGGTTTCATCTTTTTGACTTCACTTCTTCAACTTCAAAACACCCAGATGCTTCAGGCCACCATGAGTTGGCAGCAGCAGAAGAGCAGAAGCCAGTGTTCAAGCAGCACATTCCTGCCAACACCAAGGTCATGCTGATTAATGACATTGGTGAGCCAGGAAGATGATGTGGGAGTGCAGGGTGAGGGAGTTTGGGTAAGAGAAAGAAAATGTGTAGGACTCACAGAAGGAAATTACTCTCTTCCTGAAATAAGTGCTCTAACAAGCTACAGCTGAGTCATGGGTGGAAGAAGCAAAAACTTCAGGACTTTTCCTGAAGTGCAGGTTCTCATTACGGGATTAGGATGTTCAGAGATGCTATGTGATGGAAACCAGCACAGTGGTGCATGAATGTTGGGGCTCTTGGGGCTATGAAAACCTGAGAGACCCCATCTATCTCCTTGTATTCCCTTCAGATGGAGATGGGAAGTGCGAGTTGGTGGTGGGTTACACTGACAGAGTGGTACGTGCCTTCCGCTGGGAGGACTTGTCAGAGAATTCAGACCACGTATCTGGGCAGCTGCTCCTGTTGAAGAAATGGCTGTTAGAAGGTCAGGTAAGGAAACTGGCTGCTCAGAGCAGAACTTGTCATATAGTCTTCAAGAGGTGGCTGTCTCAAGGGAAGAAGCACAAGATCTCAGTCCTGTGAACAAAGTAATTGTCATGTTAATGGTTTGAAAGATTTGCCCAGTGCTTGTCCTGTACTTGCAGAGCAGCTGATGGGTTGGTCTGGGAGACCAGTTGGTTGCCGTCACCCAACTAGAGAGCATTAGTAGAAAATACTGGTGTTGCTCTTAAGTGGTGTATTGTAGGGAAACATAACCTTTTACTGTAACTTGGACATTTTGCTTGTAGCTGGATTTGTTCCATTCCTGCTCAGCTCTGTCAGAAGATCTGCCATACTCAAGTTTAGGTACAAGGAGGGTAGTGAACTTTTCTGCGGTGTTTGAAGTTTTCAGTTTGACTCCATCAGTGTTTTTCCTCTGCCAGTATAGGTGGACAGCCTGTCTGTGAACCCAGGCCCTGATGGCTCACCAGAGATGATGGTGTCTCAGCCAGGCTGTGGTTATGCCATTCTGCTGTGCACCTGGGACTCTGAGCAGCAGGCCACAACAGAGGGAAGAGACAACTCTGCCCCAGGCAGGTGAAGAGCATTACTGCATATGGTAGATGGGGAGATTCCACTGTAGATGCCCATTACAAGGGGGCACCACCACACAACGTCTTTCTGAGGGGGGTGGTGTAATTTGTCCTTGCTTCTCTGACCTTGCTGCAGTGCTGGGACTTAAGCACACCTTCTATGAACACTCTTCATGTCTCTGTCACAAAGATGAATACTGCTGCTTTCTTTCTATCCCACTCTTCTTGGTTTGGGCAAGGAGAGTGGCAAAACCATCTCACTGAGGGGGACAGTACTGGGGGCTAAGGTAGGGAAATGAGTGACCTAGATCTTCAGAGAAAAAGTAGTAGGCAATCTTGTGACCTATCTAATGGTGGGAAGGGTAGCAACTGAATAGCTGGGCTCTGAAGCCAAGGGTGGTACTTTGAGTTTATTCACTTGTTTCTTCCAGGAGAGGTAACTGGAGGTTTTCATAATGAGACCTTTAGCAGCCAGTACTGTAAATAACAACCAGAGCAATCAGGATGAGCAGAGAGTTTATTGTCCTCTGCATTGGAGGGGCCCTTGGGGGGGATTCAGGTGCTTCCATGGTGTTCTGTGGGATTTTAAGGCAAACCCAGAAAACTGTAGGAGGAGGGTTTTTTTTCTTTGATTGGAATACATGTTCTACTGGCATCTTCCATGCTATTTTTTTTCCCCATGTGCCCCTCTCCTTTTTGTTTTGAGCTCTTTACAGTTTTTTGATGTATCAAATCATTCTGTTTTCATTTTTTAAACATTAGAGAGTTCCTTTCATACCTAGGGTGGTATGCATTCTTTTCCTTGGCCTTTGCCATTAAAGGGCTAATCTATGTACAAACTCTTAGCAGTCTCTGAATTTATAAAGCTTTGGAGTACACTGGTCTTGGGATTATTGTGGCATGGTTCCCTGGCCTTTCTCTGATGTCTCTGTCTTTTTCCTAGCGAAGGCCCTATTCGAGATGTTATTCTGCACCAAACATCTGGACGGATTCACAACAAGAATGTTTCCACTCATCTAATTGGTAGCATTGGACGAGGTGAGAGATTTAAGAGCTTGGGGTCTCTGGCTCAACGATTGATAGTTTTTCAATATGTCAGTCTAGCATTAAATCAGATTTCCTGTGGTTGAAAAATACCAGTGGGAGAGAGCTGCAAGAACAGAGGGAACTTTGCTTCTGTTAGCCAGCTCCCAAAGAAAGACAGCTGGATTATTGCATTTGAACTTCCTATGGCTTTGTGCCTTCCCTAGGTATATCCAACTGTTCAGCTAGCACAGCAGTTTTTCAGCAGCCTCCACTGGTCTGCATTTAGTCATCGTGAATGGCTGCCATGCCTTGCTTCTGCAGATGTCCTTGGTCTTTTGCATGGCTGCAGCTTATGCCCTTCTTACTCCCTAGATGCATCTCTTCCTTTCCACAGCCTCAGCTTTATTTTTTTTGTGTTTTTTAGCATTTGATTCCCAGTACCTGGCATCTGTATACTGTTCTTCCTTCACCTAGGCAGGCCCAATCCCTTCAGAGTTTCCATATTTAATTTAGATCACTGTCCTCTGTCTCCCTCCAGTGTATTCCATTCAGCTGTTGTATCTAAACCCTCCACAGCTACTCATTCCTCTCAGCCCTCACATGCCGCTGCTGTGTCCAGGCTTTTCTTACACACTGCCACTGCTTTCCTTGTGTAAATGCTGTGTGCTCTGATGTGTGCCTGGTGCACCTGCAGAACCTTTCTTTTGATACCTATGGAGAATAAGCAGCTTTCACGTCCCATTGGAGCCTGTGAGCATAATACAAGAAAGCAGAAAATCTAGCTGCATTTGCTCTGTCCAAGTATTACCCTCTGCAGTGCTGCCTGAGAACAGTTTAGGCTGCCCAATGTAACTTTGAGCTGGGGGAGAAGAGCAGTCCACTGAACCCCCTGCTCTTCTCCTTTCCCAACTCTTCCAAAGCTGTTATGTTTTTAGCATCTCAGGTGCTGCTATAAGCAACAGGGTCAACAGAGCATGAAATCAGTTATTTCACTGCATACTAAGCTTTTCATCTAATGAAGGTGTCTTGTGAAAAATTAAGGCACAGAGTAAAGGATGAAGAGAAGGTTGGGAAAAGTCCACTAATTCTGAACGATAGGTAATGAAACAGCCTAAGAGTGCCATGCTGACCAGTTTGTAAGGGGGACACAGCAGATCTTTTTGATCAAAGCCTGTACAGATGAATGTCAGCTAGGGGCAATAAAGCACTCAAAACAGCTGGTTTGGTTTAAGCTGATCTGCACAAACAGGGTAGTCTGTGTTCCGTAAGCGTGCAGGTTGTTATAGCTTGGAGCTCTCTATGGGCAGTGGAGGTAGGCTTGCAGAATTATATTTCTCTAGGGAAACTGCCTATCTGTTTTCAGCTCTGCTGGCTCGTACCTCACTGCCAGGTTTCTTGGGTTCCTGTAGACCCCAGAAAACCAGCGTCTCTCCTGTGTTGTCAGTGAAAGGGTGAAATGCAGCTGTAGCTAAATACAGCTCCAAGTCCCGCTAAGTGTGACACCGCTTTCAAAACCTGACCTTGCATGTCTTTTCTGATTGGTAGCTAGGTAGAGAGTGTACTGAAGGGTGAACCAGCCTGCTGGTCAGGGAGTCTCCTCTTCAGATGTATCTAGTCACATTTGTCAGTGCTATCCTGCACACAGCTGTGATATATAGGACATTTTAGAGAGAATGTTGCTTGCAGGATTTTTACAGCTGTGTAAATATAGTCCAGGAAAACCAGGGCTGAGTGTGTAGATGAGCTACACATGTCTAATCTGCTTGTAAAGGGCTCTCTAGCCCTTGTGTTTGTCTCTAGACCAGTGTTTGGTGGGAGAGGATCACACCTTCTGTACAGTTTTGCTGTAACAAAAACAATAGGGTGGTAGCATGATCTCTACAGACTCATTCAGGAATTGCCATGAAATGCTTTTGTGCTAATGTGACTAAAGCTTTGTCCTTCTGGTGGGACCTCTCTTTTGATGCTGTAACATGCCAGAACAGTCAAAGGCTGTGTTCCTGCCCTTGAAAGAAAAGGTGAGGGTAGTTTTAATACTCTTGCCTGGATTCAGCTGTTCTTTACTTTGTCCCTTGTGATGGTCCTGGCTATGCTCGTGCATCACATAGAGAGAATGTGATGGATATCAGAACTGCCATGGGCCTGCAAGTGCATATGTGGTACAGACAAACTCTTAAGAGCAACTAGCAGAGCCAGACATGCTGATATCAACTGACAGAAGGTCTTGAGTTTTGAGATGCCAGTGCCCTACAAATGAAAGTCATGAAGTACAATTGATTGCAAGAATCTGCAGGTATCTGGTAAGCAGAATGTCAGGGCTGGGCAAAAAGGAAGCAGGATGGATCAGCTTGTTTGGGTTTTTTTTTTAGGAGATGGCGGGGACAACGCTTACAAAATGGCATCAACTCTTGTAATTCTCTTCTGCACTTATAGGCTCCTCCGGTGAGAATAGTGGCTCAGGTCTCTTTGCCCTCTGTACTCTGGATGGTAAGTCCTACTGCTGTCCTGGAAGAAAGGCCTGTGAGGTGGCCAAGGCCTGTCATTGATTCAAAGAAGGGAATCAGGGGCACAGTGCCTTTTGTTTTGAAAGAAGGGGATCTGAGCTTCAGAAACACTTCCTGAGTCAGGCAGGAGAATATTTGACTCCAAGACTTTTGCTGACATATTTTGTATGAAGGCATGAAAACTAAGACAGAAGCCAAGGTAAGAGCTGTTACTGTGATCAACTCCCCCATAAACCAGGCATGTGATAACATGCCTGTATCTGAGGGCCCGATGAAACATTAAAGCTGAGTCTGTCTTTCTGTTCCTCACTGAATTGGGACTGGTGTAGCACAGGCTTGCTCTCTCCAGAAAACCTGTTGTGTTTTCTTTCTGTTATGAATATCTGCCTTTCTCACTCTCCTGGTACAGTGTATTAATCTGTGGATTTCAAAGCATTGTACAAACTTCAATTACTTGTATGGTCCTATAGCCTATGCTGGGTAGAAGTATGAATATCATGCTGCAGCAGGCAGCTGGGAAAATGAAAAGTCTAGGTCAAAGGCACACTGAAAGCTTGCAATAAAGAGTGAGACTAGAACTTTCAGCTGCTGATTTCTAAGTTGCCTGCTTACCCATTTTTCAAACAATTGTCTGAGATGCCAATTCAAAAGTGCTATTCCTGTAGACAAAAGACTACCACAGCAGAGAACTTGGAAGGAGTTGGATTGTTTCCAAAAGCAGTTAAGGGAATGGGTGCTGGAACTTCAGTATTGGTAGAGAGGAGCTGGCCTCACACAGGCTTGGAACCAGGTTCTTTTGCTGTGCCCTGACTGCAAAATGGGACTGGTCTAATGAGCTGAATGCAGGGTTTCTGTCCAAAAAGCACAGTGTGGAGACAGTATGTTGTGCTCTCCCTTCGCAGATGACAGCCTGGCCTGTTTGGGCTAGATGTCCACCCTCCCAATGATTTTCTGCTGGGGAATTTCTGATTACTCTGTGGGCCTGAACCCTGAAGCTTCTGCATCTGCAAGGCTTCCTGCCTCACTCTGGTTGACTCAGGAGCTATAACAAGGCTGGATGGCACTGTGAAGCTAGATTCATGTTTATGTTCCACTTTCTCATGGCTACCCTCTCTCCACTCCCCAGTACTATCACAATATATCTGGATGATAGAAAAATACCTATGTGAGGTAGGTGTCCAGTATGGTTTTAGCAGGCAAGAGGCCATGCCCATGCTATTAGCCAGCCACTTGTCAGCTGATAACTGTCAACCTTCTGTCTTGAGATGGCATGATCTGCAGGACATGGTGAGAAACTTCAAGTTCACTCACTGTCTCATGTGAGATCTGTTGATGTACTGTACTTTGGGAGCCTAGTTTTGGCCGGTTTTCTTCTTGTCGTAGAGCACACTCCATTCAGTAGGGCTGCTGCCACTTTTCCTCTCTGTTTCCAGTTACTGACGACAAGATAATGGGCTGCTGTGCTTCCCACTGTTACCTATTATCAAACACAGCCTGTATCACTCGCCCAGCCTTTTGCCTGCACCAGACCCTGGTTGCTGACAGAATGTGTAGGGCCAAGTGTTAGCAAATATTGTTCCCTTCTAATACTTTCAAGACAAAACTTATTTTAAGTTTTTTTTCTTCCCTTCAGGGACATTGAAACTCATGGAGGGAGCAGACAAGCTGCTCTGGTCTGTGCAGGTTGATCACCAGCTGTTTGCTCTGGAAAAGCTGGATGTTACTGTGAGTGTCTGTGAACGGGGCTGAAAGGGAGCAAGGCAAAAACTCTGCATGATTTTGTGTGTAGGAATATAGGAAGGGCAGAAGGAATATGACTTGGCTGAAAAAGGCTGGGATTATCTCAGGATGACACAGAGTGCTCTGACTGTGCTGATGCATTTTGCACTCATGTCAGTCTGTCCATCTGCAAGAGGTTGAGCTGTGTTTGACCTAGTGAGCCCAACATCCTGCTGTGAACTTTTTTGTCCCCCAGCTACTCTTTTATCATATTGCGAAGTTAAATGGTTTTACACATTGCTAATACCCTGATTGTCTATAAGATCTTATTGATACATAAGGATTACAACAGAGAAGAGAGAGATGGTCTCCAAGTGCAAAAAGACTGGACAACTGCAAAATGACTGAACAAGGCATCCAGAAGTGACATCTTATTCAGACAATAGTGTTCATGTCTCTGAACAAGCAGGAAAGTTCTTGACTGCCCCTGGAAATAGTTGAGGTCCATGTTAATATATGATCTTATGGTTCCTACAGGGCAATGGGCACGAGGAGGTGATTGCCTGTGCGTGGGATGGTCAGACATACATCATTGACCACAATCGGACTGTTGCCAGATTTCAAGCAGATGAGAATGTCAGCGCGTTCTGTGCAGGTGAGGAGCCTGACTGCAAAGCCAGTCCTCACAGCATTTCTCCCTCAAAGCTACTGCTGCCCTCGGGGAGACCTGGAGTCCTTTGTCTGTCTGCAGTGGGAAGTAATTTCCCTGTGTGTGTTACTGCAGAAGACCCAGCAAGTCCTTCCTCTGGTGGCATCTGGGAAAAGCTGGGGTGATGCTGAGGTTTGTCTGTGATGGTTTTGGGTTGGGTTTTTTTTTCTGTTCCTTTTGGGAGTGCTACAGGGCTCTCTTGTCTTCCCCACTGCTTTTTTTATTTTACTGTTCTCAGGTGGAGACAAGGAGCTCCATGGAACCAGCCTGAGCCTTGCGTTTGCCTTTCTGCAGGCCTCTATGCATGCAAAGGAGGAAGCAACAGCCCCTGCTTGGTTTATGTCAGCTTCAATCAGAAGATCTACATCTACTGGGATGTGCAGCTGGAGAGAATGGAGTCCACCAACCTGTTGAAAATCCTGGATTGTAACCCAGAGTTTGGAAGTCTCCTGAAGCAGCTGGGTGTGGGTGAGTGCAGAAAGGGTGGATATATATGGGGAAAAAAGAGAGGAAGGCCTGCCGGCATATGAAGTGCTGGTAACTAGAGTTTCACATGCTTCTTGAGGAGGAGGGGCTTTCATGTACTACTTGCTGAGAATCCCTAACAACTGTCTGTCTTCTCCATAGAAAGAAGTGATGTTTCTGCTGTCAAAAATCTGATTCACAAAACACTGTATTTTCCTGAGAAATGGCAGCAGAGCAGCACCACTCAGTGTCAGGACCCTGCTGGAATAGACTCCTCTGCCCACTGCAGTGTCGTCCAGGATCCCTTATAACAAGCCACATGGAGGTTGACATCTTTAATACCTGCACAAACTCTTCTGAAACTGGAATCGGTTATCTAATGAAGACGAGATTGTTCCCGTCTCTGTCAAAGTTTCCACACAGCAAAGGGCGTACAGGCCAGATTTTGTGGCAGGATGTGCGTGGTTGTCAGCTTGAGTGAAGGTGGTGGGTTGATTTGTTTTTAGCTAAGGAAGCTACCAGAACATTGCTGAGTTCAGGGTCCTGCTTATTGGCCTTCCGTTGCCAGTTTCCATGTTCTCTGCTAGCTAAGGCCCTTTACAGGTGACTGAGGAGGAGCACTGGGGACATAAATGGAGAGAATATCTGAGTTCAGTCTCTGTTTTGGCCTGTTCTTACAACTGCTCTGGTGATTACTTCTGAGTTCTTAGCAGAATCACCGTGCAGGAACTGCAGACAGAGGAATTGAGTTAGGGAGCAGGCAAGGGCTTTCTCTCCCATCTAGGGGTGTTTTTAAAGTAGACCCAGGCACTGCTTGCCTTTTCTCTGCTGCTGCTCTTCTACCAAGCAGTTTCTCACAGACTACCTCCTGTTCTGAGGAGCTGGAGACGTGTTTGAGAAGAACCACAACTTGCACTAACAATGTTGTCAAGAGGTAGCAGCTACAGCAAACTCAGCTGTTCTCAAGAGGCGTTGCTTTCTCCGTCTGCTTGGGCAGGGTGATCCCAGAAATGGCTGTGGCTTGGCAAAGCAGCTGTGACCTGGGCAGTAAGAGGAATCTGTCTTAAGCATGTATCTGTGGTGTTGAGAGAGCTTGGCCATTCCATAATAAGGAGTGGAAGTGCCACGCTTCCCTCTTATTGTGGAGAGTGCCATGCTATTTTGAGTCCCGCACAACTGAAAGAAGTGGACTGGAGATAATGTTCCGCTTGCTGGTATGCAGTCTGGAAAAGGCTGTCGCTCACACAGGCTGCTTGTATGCAGAGGCCAAGGCAGGACACCTTTCCACATGCTGCTTGTGTTTTGCTTTTCACCATCTCAGCTTGCCCCTTGCTTAACTCTGCTTATTAGGATAGGAGCAGCAGGCTGACTGCTGTTTTGCATCTGTTACCCTTTCTCACTTGTGTGATGTTTTACTGGACATGTGTAATGGATGTACCTGTTTCTTTGCTCTTACAGCAGCCCAAGAGGGTTGCATCTGAGTCTGAGCAAATGGTAACGTTTAAAGATCCTGCAGGCTATTGAAAGCCTGCTGTGCTGCACTCTGCAAAATGTCCAATGGCAGCCCTAACTGGAAGAACTTTGTGTAGGAGAAAGGAGTGTCTTGTCTTTGGGTCAAAAGGACTGTTGAAGTACCCCATGTGGTAGAAGGGCAGGATCTTTACATTAAGCCTTCTATTGCAGTTTCCATCTGTAGATTATATAAGCTTTATAAAGAACAGCTTCTGTACTCTGAATTTGATAGCTGTGAAAGTGGAAGCATGGAGCAGTGAACTGGTATGACCTGGTCTGTACCCGCTAACAGTCATTGCTTCTCAGATCACTCATTCTTCTGAGTCTCTAACTACAGTGGAAGTTTCTCTCCGTTTTGATGACCTCAGTGTGAAGCATTTTTATATGTTCCCCTGTCATACTAAGTGTGCAACTGGACCCTTCAGGCAGGAGCTCTCATGTCATAATAGTGCTTTTGTAACAGTGGTGTTCAGAGCAGCAGGGTTTGAGGTTGTCAGCTGTGGAGAGCTGATATTGCAGGCAACATCTAGTGATGGGCTAAGGCAAGGACTCTTGAAGTGTGTCAGCTCTGGACTGTAACCTCAAGGAATTGTCACCTCTTGTGATTCTGAGAGGTACAGCCACCCATCCCAAGGGCAGTCATTATTGCTTCTGGCAAATAACTTAGTGTGACTGCTTGGGCTCTCACCAGTCTCTTAGTCCTTTCCGAATGAGGATGAGTCTTGTTGGGGCTACTAACAATCACAGTAGGTTGGTTTCTTGCTACTTCCAGGTTTCTGTTTCCCAGATGCTAAAGCTACTCTCTTTCTGATCACCTCCTCTCTGTTTGGGTGAAGTACCAGTTGCTACTCTTATTTCCTCTTGTTGGCTGGAAGCATGTGTCCCTACAGGTGGGGTGAGCAGTTTGGTTTACTGTATTGTGGCATACTTTCTGCCTAGCCCTTTTGCTAGGCAAAAATTTTGCACTTCACAATTAGTGGAACTGACATGAAGGGGAACCACAGTCAAGCAGGACTCTGCAGAGCAGTTTCCAGAAGCATATAACAGAAATGACATTGTAACAATGTCCAAGACATTGTTGAATGTCTTGGCATATGCCGTTCTTCTGTCCTGAACACGCTACTTTTCATCTTAAGTTTGTGTATTTTCTCGTCCTACTTCCCCCCACACCCCTTTCCTAATTCTGTGGCTTCTGCCTTTCCCACGGGGGATAGAAACAGGGTGGTTACAAGCAACAGAAAACAGTGATGCGTGATTTTTCAGTCATGGCTCACACAACCTGGGATGTGTACTGCTGCACAGCTGATGGGCTCTTCTGCTCTGTATGCTTTGACAAAAAACAGATGAAGTCCTACAACAGCTTGCACCTTTCATGGTTCTATTCAGCATTGTTTGGCTTTGGTGGGGCAGGTGTTCACAGATGTACTCTCTCCTCATCCACTTCTGAGACCCCAGAGGTCCCCGCAGTAATTGCCTGGAGCATTTTACTTGGCTGAGAGTTGGGCCAGGCTGAGCTAATCTGATAGCTGGATTTTACAGGCTACTGCAGGCTGCTGTATTGTAAGTCCCTCTCGAGGCCTAATAGCAAAACAGGATTGTTTACAGCCATAACAGAGAACAACTCAATGTTGCCTGTCATGCCAAATATAAACCTTTATTAGCAACACAAGTGCAAGGGATTTTATGAATGGTTGTGTGACTGAAACTGTTTTATGAAAAACAACTTTGCTGTACAGGTCAAGTGATTTCCGAGGAAGGAGGGTCAAATTGATCCACTGTTGGACTGTTAATTGTTGAGAAGAAACAGGAAAGGGTTAAGGAGGGAGCGATGACATTTCCCTAAGAACCATGTTTAAAAGAAAATGGGGAAGACCCAATGCAAATGATGGACAGGGCAACCTGTGCAACCCAGCCCTCTTGTTGGCCCAAGGATAACATTGCTGTATGCTGTGCAAGCCCAGGCGTGCTGCATTGCGGAAAGCAGAGGTGGGAAAATACAGATGCTACAGATCATCTGTTGCCCAAAACTCTTCTGCAGTTAAAACCATTTGAGAGGAAAAATGCTGATGTTCAAGGGTTTCCCTGTCAGTTTTACATTGCTTATGGCACATAATAACTTGCAGTTGCTTTTTGCTCCTGTGTCCCTTGTGCACAGACAGAAATGAAAACTGTCTATGGAAGAATTAATTGGAACTTCTGTGCTGTTCCTTGGTGAAAAGATTACTTTCCTTTCTTTTTTTCTTCTTTTTTTCAAGTACTGGACTCCAAGTAATAAACTAGCTACAGTGAGTACTTCTTAGGTCAATGCTTCAGGCTACTTCAACTGGCAACAATTGCCTACTTAGGGAAGGAGCAATGGAAGCTCTGTCTCTGGGACGATAGTTATACTTTCATTGTAACTCATTGCCTGTTTGTCCTTGCCAGACAACACAAGCACGCATTTGGAATTAGAAGTTGTTCCTTCCCACACAGCAGAAAATGTTGTCTGCTGCATTTTACTCAGTAGCAGATTGGCATACCCACTGGTGCCAGGAAGCTTTATGACAGGGCAGGATTTGCAAGACACAATTGCATGTTCCAGTGCCAGCACACAGCAAGTGAGGATTCCAACAGCATTCTTGGTCAGCGGGGGTATTTGCAGATAAATGATTCATGGCTTTGGTTATGATGATGAATTTACTAGCAAGGAAATAGAGGGTGTTGCTTTATTTTCCTGAGACATAATAAACCCACTGGCCATCCCTGCACTTGTTTTTGTGATCTCTCTGCTGAATGCAGTTATTTGCATAACTCTTCAGGTATATCCTGGCATTTGCCAGTGGAGTCTCTTGAAAGGAGGACTGTCTGCAAGCATGTAGGTGGTTCAGCAGTCTTAAATTCTGTAACTTGCACACCAGGAGTGAAAGAAGGAGCAGGCCTCTGGGCTTATTGATAGCTGGAGCTCCCATTCAAAACCAAGAGATCCGAAGCGGCTGGAAATGATCCTGATTATGGCTTTGGCAGAGTGCATGTTGGCTTTGGAAGGGGCCTCAGAAGTCCATCTCCCCATCCTCAGGCAGGTTCAGCCATACGTATCTCACACCTGCCATGTCACGCCTCTATTCCAGAGACTTTCTGTGACAGTTTCCTGCAGCCTGTTTTGCAACTGTTGCGTCCATTCTACTGGAAAGTAGCCCTACTAGGAGCTGAGCATCAAGGCGATTCAGAGAGATTGTCCCTAATATTCCAGTGTCTGTATTGAAGGGATTGATCTCATCATGAGGAAGCTAGTGCTGGACATACTCAGGATATGCCTATGTCCTGATCTGAGATGGCAGTTTGTACCAAATTTCTACTTTCCAGATGAAAGTGTTAGCATTTTTTGATCTCTAGTGGAGAAGATTTTTAGCTATCTCCTTCCTTCCCCTGATCCCCCAGAAGCAATAGAGATGACTGGAATTGGAGGTAGAGAAGTGTATCTGTATAATAGGCTTTTCCAAAAGAAGCTACAATTGAGACAGTCTTCAGCCTTGCCAGCCCACTTAAAAATTACTTAACTGAGTTCCCTAACATAGGAAGACTTACCATGTTTGCAGATGGGGTTGAGTTTGCATCATCAAGATAGTGTAAATCCTGTTTTATAATCACATCTTTTAAAGCCAGGATCCTGTCTTTCACAATGACAACTGGGATTCCCATGTAATGACACAAAAATGCTGGTCTTCAGAGAAACATGTCATTTAATGCCAAGGAACTCTGGGAGGTGAAAACCCACCAGGAGTTCTGTTTGACAATGAGGAAACTAGGTACTGACACTGTAGGATTAGGCTGTGGTTTAGGGAATGAGTTGAAATGAGGTGTCAGCCATGGTGTTATGACCTGCAGTACTCATTCAGTCATATACATTTTTCTTTTTTTCTGTAAGCTCTGCTTGCAACAAAATTGGATTGGTTGGTTCCAAGATAACTTGGCAACAGGTTACTCAGTGTTTGAGATCTTTACTGTGGGGACCTACACGTTCAACTAACATGGACTGAAGGAAAACAAAAAGCACATCTGCTCTGGAGATGATTTCATAGCTGAAAACAAGAGCTTTCACATGCTAGTTTAGCTCTTGCTTGGAAACATCCTCTGTGACTGACAAGTGGCAATCTACATTTATGGATACATAATTGTTAACAGCAAAGACAGAAGGCTGGCAAGACAGTGGCACAACGTGAGAGAGTAGTAGTAACAAGGATTCAGGAAAGAATTCAAAGGATTATCTAAAAATGAAAGCATTCCTTTTGGAAGAAGCAAATTTGTCACCGCTGTGGAAAAATGAATTGTTTGCTTGGGGGAAGAGAAAGAGGATGCAAAGAAGAATTCATTATGCAGAGAAGAGAGGGACAGATAAAGTTGGTGATTTTCACCTACTGTAGCACATTAATTCTCAGAGGAACCTGAACTATTAGTGATATGAGAAGAGCCATGTGAATCACAGAAAGGCTTCAGAAGGGCTGGAGGGTGTTCTGAAGGTGAGCAAAAGCAGAGTTATCCCAAGATTGATATGTAGGAATATCACCTGGTGAATTCCAACAGTAGCTAGTGTGTGGGTATCTGCAGTGCTGTGAAGTGACAGCCACTAGTCAGAACTATCCACTCAAAGTTGTGCCAATTTTCTGTAGAATCCCATCCAGCACTCTTTAAATCATTGGGAAGGTTCCTGTTGGCTTTAGTCTGAGTTCATGAAGATTCCTATTCACCTACACCCTCACCCCAGTCAGAGTCCCACTCCAGAGTGGATGCCCATAAGGCACGGCTTTCACATGGAAGTGGCAGGGACTGAAAGCTGTTGGTTGCCCTCCACTTCGCTTGGCAGTCCCTTCACAGCCCCATCAACACTGGGGCTCTGTGCTTGCTCTAACACCTAACCCTCACCTAAAGGCTCCGAAATGCACACCCAGAACTTTGGGCCCTCACACAGAAGTAGCCAGAGCTGAAGCTGGTAGTGGCCCTCATCTTCCCTTGGCAGTCACTTGTGGGCATTTGCAAAGCCCACCAAAAGCTATTAGGCAATCTGCAAGGCAGCAGAGACTTGCCAGGGTGTCAACAAAGCCTGGCAAATCCCTGTGTTGCTCTGGAAGGCAGCAGGGACCCTTGTTGGCCAAAGCAAAATCTAGCAAAAGCCCTAGGATGCTCTGGAGGGAAGCAGGGTCTCTTCTGGGCACTTGCAAAAGCCATCAGATACAGTTAGGGTTAGGTGGTTGGGGTTACAGTTAGGTTTAGGGTTAGTGTTAGATGTAGGATTAGGGATATAATGGTTAGGGTTATGGACAGGGTTAGGATAAGGTATGGGGTTGGGGTTAGAATTTAGTATTAAGAGAGTTAACATTTGGTTTAGGATTAGTGATAGGGTTAGGGAATTGAGTTTAGGGCATTAGAATAACTGAGAGTTATGTGGTTAGATATAGGGAGTTAGTGTTAGGCCAAGGTTATGACTAGTGGTTATGATCAGGTTTTTGGCTAGTGTTAGGGTTAGTTTCTATGGTTAGGTTTTATGTTAGGGGTTGCATTAAAGGTTACATTTAGAGATAAGGTTAGCTTTAGTGTTTAGGATGAGGAGTTAGAGCTATGTTTAGGATTTTGGATTAGAGTTATGGTTATGAGGTTAGAGTTTTGGAGTGAGAGTGTCAGATTTAGGTGGTTAGCTTCATGGCTACCATTCAGGATTAAGGGCTAGGGATTAGGACTAGGAGTCAGGGTTTGTGTGAAGGTTTAGGGCTAGGGTCATGTTTAGTCATTAGAGTCAGGGTTAGTGTGGTTAGAGACAGAGCTAGTGTTAGAGTTTTGGTTGGGGATTAGTGTTAGGTTTGTGGTTAGTGTTTATAGTTGGCATTGTGTTTAGAATTAGGTTTACCTTTGGGGGTTAATTTTAGATGGTTAGAGCTAGGGGTTGGGGGTTAGATCTAGAGGGTTATGTTTAGGGTTATGATTTATTGTTAGGGGCTAGTGTTTAGCACTAGAGGTTAGGGTTAGCATTAAGTTTTAGGGTTAGGTTTAGTGGTTAGGGTTGGGTTTAGGGTTAAATTTACAGTTAGGGTTAGCTTTAGGGGATAGATTTAGGGCCAAGGTTAGGTTTAGGGTTTGGATCAGAGGTCGAGTGAGCTTTACTGTTTAGGATTAGGGTTTAGGGTTTTCTGTTTTTTTAATCGTGAAAGTTAATAAGAGCTGTAATGAATGTGGTATCTGTCAGGTTTAGCATATTATTTGCCATTGTTCCATATGCCATTTTTAATTGTAAATAGATTCCAGCTGACAGTTTTTGTACAAGTCTGTACTGTCAAGAAAGACCCCTAGGTTTAACAAGCCAGTCAGACATGGAAGTTATACAAATAGAGGAGGAATTACTGGTTCCTTTGGACGACAGGCTTATTGAGTAGACATATCCTGACATAAATGGGAGATGTTGGTGTCATTCAGGAGATTCATGGAAATCAGTTCATGCTGTCAGAAATAATTAGATGCACAAGTAGAAGAATGGCAAAGAAGCCAAGGAACAGATCAGAAGCTGCAAGATACGATGACTAACGATAGAAATCACTAGCCTGATGCTGTTTGTAGGTGAAGCAGAAGCGAGTCACACCACCTAACACTAGCAATTGGATCCCAAATCATATCAGCCAGGCTGTACTCTGCTGTCCTTAGCATGTTAAACTATAGCATACAGCATCGGATTTTGGAAAGAACGAACAGAAATGCATACACAAGTTCTTTGAGAAGCGCAAGAGAAACTATGGTTGAATAAAAAAAAAGCGAGCCAGCGGTATTTAATCCAGGAAGATAGGCAAACTGGGGTGTCCTGATATTCTGAGGATGGACAAAGGGACATTGTGCAGAGTTTGAATAGTGAGTCAGTAGTCATGAAGCATGGAATAAGCCCTGATCTGCTGCATCTTTCCTAGAGCTAGTAAAGACTAGACTATGTATTTATCATACAGCTATGCTCTAGGATGCAAATAAATAGAAAAATAATTAAACCAAACAAATAAGTGACTAATAACCACCATACTCATCCTGGAGGAGTTCATAGTTCTCTGACCTGCAAGGAAGTCTAGTTCCTGTTTCATGCAGGAGTAGCAAACTTGATGGGCAGTGGGATGCCGGGACTTGAGGCTGATTATATCTTACATATATTATATATATCTGTGTCCAGTCACTAGATTTCAAGTTGAAAGAAAGGATCTGAGAAAGCAGAAGACTCGGTGCTGCAATTCAATATAGCATTTAAACTGGGTGGCAGGATCTCTGATGATACAGCAGAGGTGATAGAAATGTAGAGCAGCTGGAATACAGAGAGAAGAGGCCTGGTCAGAAGATGAGGGTGTGCAAGTGTGTACTACATAAAAGACCAAAAGATGGTAAGTATTGCCATTCATATAGTATAGCTTAGTGGCCAAGGAAGCAGTGGCAAAGTCCAAGCCCCTGTGCGTGTCCACCGTACTCTAGGCATCTATGCTCAGCATTGCTGCAAAGGTTTCTTAGAATCAAGAACTCTAAAGTTTTTTCTTGCTGCAAGGCCTTTCTGAGAAAATACGTCTTTTTTGCTCTGAGCAAGCAAAAGGTAAAAAAAATCCAGCTTCCCTAGAGCACAGGTGAGGGGACTAGCCACAGAGCCCTTCCCACAAATAAATGGGAGTGGACTCTGCTCACACTGAGGCAAAGAGAAGGGAAACATTCACAGTGATCTTTGGAGGCTTTTGGACAAGTTGCTTGTCCTCCTGTCC